ATTTATGGTGCCAATGAGGATAACCCCAGTTTCTTTAGGAATATCTTTATTGACTTGTCTACCATGAACAGATTTTTTATTTTAGGAGGGGACTTCAATTGTGCTTTAAATCCAACAATAAATCGTTCAACGGGCTGTGACACGGGTAAAACACAAACTAGAGAACTACTGAAACAGTTTATAGAGGATCTAAATCTAGCTGATGTCTGGAGAGAACGGATAAAAATCATTACTCCTGTTATTCAAGTACAAATAAATCACATTCCTGCATAGATCATTTCATTATTTCCAGGGAACTCTTACCCAAGGTTAGCGAATGCTGGTATAATGGTATCGTGATAAGTGACCATGCTGCTGTATCACTCAAAATCCAACTTGACAAAATTGTCCATGGCCCTCCTAATATGAGATTCCAGGCAAGATGGCTGCAAGTACAAATTACAATTATAAAATGTCCACAGATGAAAGTGCCAAAAGTTTAATGTGGTTGAAGCAAGCCTACCATGATCAAGGACAGAAGGCTGGAGAATCAAAAAACAACAAACTGACCGATCAATAAATAGTATTAGGACACCGCAAGGGAATTTAACAATAGACCCGCTAGAAATAAATACACGCTTCAAAGATTCTTATGAATCCTTATATAGATCAGAATGCAACCAAGACTCAGATGAGCAGGACACATTCAACATCAGCTTCAGTTTCAGTCATTATCTGACGACATAAAAAATGAATTGGATAGGAATATAACAGCCGAGGAGTTGTCAGAAGCAATCCAAAATATAAATAGTGGTAAGGCACCTGGGCCGGATGGGTTGCCCATAGAATTTTATAAAAGATTTAAAACTAAATTAGTAGAGCCACTTCTAAATATGTTTAAAGAATGTTTCCAGGAAGGAACTCTTCCACCCACTATGAGATTAGCTCTGATAACCCTCATCCAAAAAACAGGCAAACCATCCACAGAGTTCTCGTCGTTTAGGCCAATCAGTCTAATGTGTAGTGACACTAAAATACTTTGTAAAATGCTAGCAAGAAGATCAGATCCACACCTCCCTAAACTCATACATAATGATCAGAATGGGTTTGTATGAAATCGTCAAGGTTTCCATAACATCAGAAGAGTCCTTAATATATTACATGAAAAAGCTGGCGGTAAAGACACAGCAGTACTGTCATTAGATGCCCAACAGGTATTTGACAGAATAGAATGGCACTACCTTTTTTAATTGCTACCCCGATTCGGATTTGGAGAGGGATTTCTTAGATGGATTCATGTTCTCTATACACCAGAATCATTCTTGTTTTTATCATATTTTATTAAAACAATGAAAAACTAAACAGCTGCTTCATTTCCAACAATGGGACAAGACCTCTCTTAAACTGAGAAGTTGTGAAAGTGGTCATCCTCTTAAAATAAGCAAAATAATCTTGTTTCTCTGCTGGGATATTATGCTAACCATTGTTGTTACTTGTTACTGGTTAAATCAAGCTCAATATTACCTGTATTATTTTATTAAGACTAAGAGCTATCTTTTATATGTAGATATATATTTTAAGATATATTTTCTTAAAACCACACTACTTTTCTATACAAAACATGCCTGACAAGATTAGTTTTCAGCCCTTTCTCCGCATTCCTACACCCCCACCAATTTACCAGACTCCCAACTGAAGAAGGAGGTGAGGGACGTTTCAGTTGGCATAATTGCAGAGTGCATTTTTTGTATGATTATGAAAAAATATTATTATGAAATTAAAATTATTAAATATTTTTTCAAATTTAAACACTGTAATTATTTTTCCACATAATGATCATCATATAAAACAGTCTGAGTTGAATGCTGGATCGAAGCACTTAGTGACAGCTAGCATATGAAATGTTAACTTGTGTATACATTGTTTGTTGTTTTGTCTGTTTGAATCTGTGTGTGTTTCATTTTATCTACTATTATTTTAGTGCACCACTAGTTTGGTATTATCTTATCTTTACCTGTATAGATAATGTCTTGAGTGTATAGGGGTGGGAGGGGGAGAGATAAAAGGAAAATGTTTGTTCTCAGATGTATGTACAATACTCTTTTCTTCCATAGAAATATGCATAAAAAAGGTGACAGCCAATGTTAAAATAATACCTTCAAGTCTATAATGTCCAAGGTACAGTATGTCTCCACAACTTTGATGCAGACTGAAATGTGGTCATTTACTGACACTTAGTGGTGGTGAGAGATGAAAACCTAGAAATTCCACAGGATTCAGAGGGAAAGCCATGCTTGCAAGAGAAACCCATAAAAGTAAAAGTATTAATGCACTAAATTGCATTCTGTGTGTGGTTATCTCCCATGAAAAAAGTTCAGTGGTTCCCAACCTTTTTCCTGAAAGGAGCCCCTTTCTATCATTGAGTAAACTGACTAAGTGACACATTTTATGTGGATATATGGATATTTAGGGCCCCGAGCACTGACCGTGCGAAGGCCCTATTGTAATTGATAGGAATTATTAGGGCCCTAGCACTGACCATGTGAAGGCCCTATTGTATCTCTAGGAAATTATTAGGGACCGGCCATGTCGACCCCGCTGGAGGTCCCTATTTGTATTTGCTAGAATTCTTCCTTCTTCTTCTTCTTCTTCTTCTTTATGTTTTTAGCCCCTTTGACTGCATATTTGGAGGCTGCCAACATGCTCCGAAAACTCATGAAACACGGCGCACATGTCAGTCATAAAAAAAAATAGAAAATAGTCATATTTTCTAGGGGCCCACTATGAGCATGACAAAATGGCCCCTCAGGGGCCCATTCACTGATATGCATAAAAATCTGCACACATGTAGATCTTACCCATATCCCAAACCCATGTAGGACCTTGTCCTCGTCTTCGTCTACAAGAGACATTTTATTCGTCTCTTAATGCAACAATAATCTCAATGTTTAATTTTGTTCCACCAGGAGAGTCCAGAAAGGCCTCTTACCTTTTTTGACCCCAAGAATAGGGAGATATAGACTTTGCCGTGCCAGGCAGGAAGAAGACTGGTCTGTGTTTAAGACCTTTAACCCTTCTTTACACAGATAAAACGGACACTTTATGCTCCAAGTTTCGTGAAACAATGTTGTTCTTGAAGGTAGATGTGTGAAATTAAGTGCCTTTTTGACCTGTAAATAAGGATTAGATGTCCTTGAAATGTGTTCCACTCTTTTAGATCTGACAGTTCTACCTCCAGAGAAGAAACTCCTTTGGATTCTCACATCTGGCATACTGTCATTGTCTGCTTTTTGAAGAAGTGATTTAAACGAGTATTCCAAGTGGGGCCCTGACATTCCAATACTGATAAGCCTTGTGCTCAGTCTACAGCCAGAAAGCAACACTTACATTGATATTGGCTTTAGTCCTGATTAAGTACGTAAGATGAAGTTTTCATCTTCTCCTAATTAACATATTAACAT